TGTTAAGGTGTGATAGACAATCTGTGTGTGTGTGTGCGTGCGTGTGTGTGTGTGTGTGTGTGTGTGATTTATCTACGTGCCTCCCGCGTTGCGCACAAAATCGGCTTCGTCTTTCGCACTCGATGTTTCTTCACCGCTATTCTCCTCCGCTCGCTTTACAAAGCTCCGATTCGCCCTACACTCGAATACTGCAGTCACATGTGGGATGGGACTCCGTCCAACTCTGTGCCTGTTCTCGATCGAATTTAACCTATGTCTATTCGTCTCATCAACAACTCGGCCCCAATGTGTACCTTGCAGTCGGTTCCTTGTGCTTATTCTAGCAATACTACTTTGGATTTTTCTCTAGTGACCGTTCCGCTTCTGTCCCTTTTCCACCTGTTCCTTCTCACAGGTTTCGCATACAAGCGACTAGCCACCCATTTAAAGTGACTATCCTCCAGTGTCGTATTTTTTTTAGTTCAGTCGTTACCGTCCCCCATCCCCCCAAGAACAGCACAACTATCTTCCCTCAAACTTACAACATCCTTGTGTTTAAACGCAGAATCAACAAGTCGGTCGTAGTTTGAATGTTCCCCTTACCATGCCATGTACAGTATATTCTTTGGCTATGTGGGCTTACCCCTTTTACTGTATTCATTTTTATGTAATAAAGGAAAAACGATTACTGGAACATGTCCCCAGGTGGACTTCACTGACATGCAATGGTTGTTGAAGAAGATGGGACAGCCTCGAGGATGAAAGTGGCGCAAAACATCGTGCGATGCACGTGCTTATACCGGTTGTGTCAGCCCTCGATACTCATCGAATCGATTCCCGGGATGATATATATATATATATATGTAGCCGAGAGTAGCAGTAATACCCGTGGTTCTGTCCCCTCACTTTACCGACCGAGCTCACCCACTTCGTCGTTAGCTCTTGCTTACGTAAAGGCTAGAGATGCGTTCTCGAAGTGATAATAGTCTGGTTGCTTGTGCCACCCGAATACCGCTCAAACCACCCTACCCCAAGAAGCTTGGTGGAATAAAATCCAAAGGTCAAACCGCCGTGAATCGAATCCCATTCTTAACTTTATACGTGACTGCTTTGAACCCTATGTTTCGAGGTTCGAGCGCCGCCACTGTCACCCAACTTTGGTGTTAGGGGCAGCTTTGCTACTGTCCGGTCCAATACCACACCTAACCTATCGGGGCCTTATTTAGTTCGCCACTCCAAGTCCCTGGGATTAGGTTACCGGTTTCAATCACTGAACATCAATCAGGTCCTCGTGACTATGGGGCTTTCCCCGTCTACTGTCCATCACACGAAATTGTGTAATAAAAAAACTTCGAATACCGGACAAGGTTCTTGCGTGCATCGATCTGTTCACACGTGTGAGAGTTCGTGAATGCTTACCATCCCGACACATGGAAGAGGTCGCAATCCTGATTTTCTATGACTGATTGTGGTAATAGTAGGGCTTTTGATGTTTCCTCCGAATACGATCAACTGGCAATGTGACAGGATTTTCGGTGCATGAGAACGCACATGCCCAAACAATTGCGAAGGATCTACTCAGCAGTTGAACGAATTCCCACATCCGATTGTATTGTTTTTTTTGTCACACTGGAGAGCCGTGTTATTGTTTTGCCCCTCGAGGAGTAAAAATAATTTTTCCAGAAAATCTTCTTTCAATCAGACACGAGACAACTGCACGCGTTTGGACGAATGGAATTCGCTAGAAACTATGAGCTGGGTCGATAAACGATTGTAGCCGGGATATAAATAACCATGTGTGTGCGTGTGTCTGGATTGAAAATGTTTGACGAGTTTCTCATAGTCCACAGCTCACGATATTGCAGTTTTTCCCACGGAGATTTCGTATGGGCAAATCGGAGCATGAATGCAAAATGAGCACTAAACGAATATCGTGTTTGTTGTTTCGAGCCCATATTCGAAGTCCGTACTGAACTGATGATCACTTCACATCGTCGTTGTTGAACAGCTACCGTTCGTGCTACACAGCACGAGACCGACTCGTTCAACCAAAACCGGTTTAATTACCGTGCGAGCGGAAAATTCGCTCATCCTGTTCACCCCACCCCCGACGTCCCCTCTCAGAGCACGTGAATGAATATCTTGCAGATTTTCGTCCTGTTCATGTGTTCATTTCCTGTGTACGTTTCAATGCCACCCAGTATTATATCATGGGCACAATAAACACATGCCACTGTGGCGTGTGTGTGTGTGATTTACTGCTGCTGCTGCTCACCTTCAAACGTGTCCAGATCACGTGTCGCGCGGTGATGACGTGCACTTTAAATCACTCTTATGTCGTGCTATTTCGGTTGGACTGTGCTATGCACATACGCCACAAACTGATTGGATTGCACACAAAACCAAACACAATTGGCATTCACTCAGCGTGTGTGCTTTCACCTAGTGGTGGTGATTGTCTGTGCCGTCATTTTAGGTGCCTCTGCATCACGAATCGACAGACTAATTTGACAATGTCTCTCACTCGATAGCCGGCAGGGGGGCGTGGAGTTCTAAGGGAATCAGTTGATGCACTGATTATTATTGAGGAGTAGAACTCGTTAGCTCTAACCTGAACGTGCGTGCGTGTCTGGTTACAGACACTGAAGGATATGGCGACTAACCGACAGCAGTGGCGTTCTTGTTGTCATTTCTTACCAGGTCAGAATGCTTGAAAAGGTATGTATGTACATTTAGATTGTGTACTGTGTGTGTTGGACATAGAGGTTCTTTTTCTTTGCCTCCCTCCAATTCGGTCCAATCCCTTTCCATTTTATGCTTTATCACTTGATTTGTGTACATTGTGAGCTTGGCAGCGATCAGTGAAGCTCGCTTCACTGTTTCTCGCTGTACGATGATGATGATGTATGGGAAGATGACTCATAGTTCCTCCCACAAAGGTGGATGAGACCTTATTCCCTCTCCTCAGTAAAAAAGAACTGCTCTCGTGGAGTGCGTATCTGAAGGAACTTTACTGTACAGGTGTTTTCGAGCGTCAAAGCCTATCTATATTCTGGGCTAAAGTCAAGGTGATGAACGACGAGGAGCAGTTAATCCATGTAGGGAAGCTAGAAAAATGTGATTCGAAATCTCTCCAGGAAAGAGAGATGAAAAACAGGCCAAACAGGGCACTCTGTACAACGCGATGGTTCCCCATTCGATTGGGTGATGAGATGCATCAGGCAGCCCAGACGTATTCGGGTCACGCCAGTACTGGTATGAACGGCTCAAGAGGTTTGTAACTACACTG